TCTATTCCTATTATTTCTATTCCTATTATTTCTATTCCTATTATTTCTATTCCTATTATTTCTATTTCTTTTCTATTCTGTATTGTTCTTTTATATTATTACATTCAATGCCCGTTTAGTCCAACTTTTTCCTGGAATCAGACAGATCCATGCCCCTCACTGTCCACTTTTTTTTTGCCAAAAGAACCTAATCTTTTCCTAATCTTGGCATCTTCTAGCACAGAGTTCTGCATATTGGCAGTGCAGCACGACTGAAGGCTCTGGGTAGGCCAGGCTGATCTGGAATAATCCTGCCAGCTCATATGCATGAACGAACTCCTCAGGAAGCCCTCGGCTCAGGAAAGTGGCATATCAGTCAACCAAGAGGCTACAATAGAAGGTTATTTTGGAACATTTGCTTCTATAACAACCCACAGGAAAACATTTCTTCCATTTGCCCGACTGGCAAATGGAAACCTTTCAGAATTGGTACTGCGTCATCTTAAGTCCTAGTGTCGTTGGTGGGGTTTTACTTCCTGGAAAGGGAACTGCCCCAACTCAGAAAGCTTAAACTGCCCAAAGAGCTGCTGATTCTGTTCTACAGAGGAATTATTGACTCTGTCATCTGCACCTCCGTAACTGTCTGGTTTGGCTCTGCAACCCAACAAGACAGACACAACTTCAACGGATAATTAGAACTGCAGAAAAAACAATTATTACCAATCTGCCTTCCATTGAGGACCTGTATATTGTACAATCAAAAAGAGGGCTGCGAAAATATCTACAGACCCCTCACATCCAGGACATGAATTGTTTCAACTCCTACCCTCAAAACGACGCTATAGAGAATTGCACACCAGAACAACTAGACACAAGGACAGTTTTTTCCCTGAATGCCATCACTCTGCTAAACAACTAATTCCCATAATACTGTCCAATAATTTACTAAGACTGTATTACTATTATTCTTCTCTTCCTTCCTAGTATCTGTCTCTCCCCACTTATGACTATAACAGTGGGGGCTTCTGGATCGCTTTGCAACCAGTACGGTTACAACGGGCCTGGCGTCCTCCACATGAACGCCCACAACGGGCGTGCACACATGTGCAGTGCACGGATGCATCTTACCTTCCAGCGATGCCTCCGCAAGCCTCCGTGATGCACCAGCTGCTCTGCGGAGCATCGCACAGGCACTGTATGCGCCATGCACGTGTGCGTAAGTGTCAAAGGAGTACAGGCAGGCAGGTGGGCCCTCTGGAACACCGTACCGGAACGATACCTGGTGCTCCGGGCAGGCTCTGGTATGCCCGTAGTGGGGCATACTACCTGCAACCCACAACTGGACTATAATCATGTTTCTTGTATCTTTCAATTTATATTGTTTTATTTAGTTTCCTAGTATGATTTGATAGCTTATGATAACTTATGACTATCACTAAGTGTTGTATCTTTTTATTCTTCATGAATGTATTTTTTTCTCCTTATGTACACTGAGAGCATCTGCACCAAAGACAAATTCCTTGTGTGTCCAACCACACTTGGCCAATAAAGAATTATTTTGTTTTTGTTTTTAAAGTACAGAGAGCTCAGGTTGATGCAGTGGTTAAGGCACCAGGCTACAAACCGGGAGACAGTGAGTTCTCGCCTTGTTTAGGCGAATGTCCAATATCCTTTGGCTTACCTGTTTCTTTTTGCCTTCAGAAGACAACACCTTGGTGACCCCAATCCGATGCAGCATGACGTGGACACGCTGTTCGAAGGAACTGGGCAGCTCACCATCGCTCTTCTCAAAGGACCGCTTCTGTAGGACAAAACATTGAAAGTTAACACCCTCCCCATAATCAATATGGCTTTGATTCACATATCAGAAGCCGTAGTTACGTCACAGCCACTAATATAACTGCCACACTGGATTTTATTTTATTTTTTACATTTTACGGGGAGGTCTTTTTTGAAATCATCCCTCTGGGATTCTGCTGCAGACACAAACAAGCCAAAGTAGGGCTTATTGGTGGTCTCTGAACTGGGTAGTTTTCTTGCAGACGTTTCACTACCTAAACCAGGTAACATCATCAGTGTTAGTGCTAGTGACTAGCACGGATGACGTAAGTTTGATTAAAGAAACATCTGCAAGAAAACAACCAAAGCAGGACAGAACCAAGGAGCCCGCATTGCAACCTTGAGCTACAAATATTCTCCTTTTTAAGTCAAAGTAGAACGAGGTGCCTTTTTTCCCCACAAACCATCATTGCTGCCATCCAGATAACATTCAACTCCATCCACTTTAGTTCCCTGTTTTGAGACACCAAGAAATGTCATTTTTCTGTTTCTACCGAAGAGCATTGTTCAGTAAACTGGGAGCTGTTATCACCAAACCTGCTGCTTCCTAAGACATGACCAGGCAGGGAAGGCAATTCCCCTACAATACAGCTCCTCCATAAAACAGACAATTATCATCTCAGGATAATTGCCTAAATATTGTTGCTTGTCCACATGGTCTCCTCCACCCACAGCCAGAAGACCAACACCCTCAGAAGGACACATTCCAGCGACTCCCAAGTAACCACCACAGAAAACCGTAGGCCCAGCGAAGTTCAGTTGGGTTGGTTGGCGAATCTACCAAGTTCTCATTGACAAGTCCGCTCTGCCAAAAACTTTCCTACTTTCCATTTTTTAGAGAACATGGACTCTTCATGTGCTAAGCAGAGACGATCACTCCAGGGCATCTTCTGAAGGCTGTCAACCCTGCCTTGTTGAATAAGAAGCCTCCTTGAGTTCCCCACCTTGAGTTCCATGGGTGGAAGGAAAGAGGAACAGATAACTGCAGAGCTACCGATGACGACATCCAAGAAGACACTCACCTTCTCATGCCTGACACCAAGTCCCTCTGTCTCTTCTCCAGACAAGAGTATCAAGGACTGAGACTTCCCTTCTCGGGAGTACTTGGGCCTGGCCCTTCGTGCACTATCCGGGGTCTGGCTTTGTTCCAGATAGCCTCTGTTCTCTCCAGCCAGCCCCCCTTCCTCAGATTTGCTAAGCGCTTTGGCCGAATCGCTGGCTTTGCTGGGGGTCCTTAAAATGTCACTGAGCATCAGCTTCCTGCCCCTTGCTGGTGAAGGACTACCCTCAGAGTCTTTCTCGGACTTGGGCCCCCGACTTGACTTTGGCTTCTTGAAGGCAAAGAAGTGTCCGATTTTCTTTTTCAAGGTCCGAGAACCAGAAGAGGGCGATGCGACTGCCGTGGGAGAGGTTTCCGAGGAAGTAGGACTGCGGGAAGGAAAGGAAGCATGGGATTACTTGCAATGTTATTATTTTGTTCAAATAATTATTATTTTTATTTTATTCTCTTATATATCATTTTAAGTATACATTCACATAATTGTTATTCTTCTTTACATTTGTCATTCTTATACATTTATTATTTCATTTA